CGGGACCCCCCGCCCCCATTGCCAAGCTCCCTCCGCCGAAGAGCAGCGTCGTCGCGATTGTCACGGCCGCCATCTCTTCCTGGAGTCAGGGACTCGGGGTAAAAGTAGAGTGGAGCGTGTGGGCTATTTAACAGCAGAGGTGCAGTCTCCTCACAGCTTCTTTAAAATCCGCTAAAGGTACAGAAACGCACGACTTATCCCGCTCCCCACCTCGCCAGCCAAGGCAGAACGCCTTTCTGAGCACTACATCGGGTTCAGATGCCGCTTGCCCCCGGGCTGGCTGCGGCCACCCCCTCCGTGCCCAAGACACACGGGGGCACAGGGAGGGAGGAGCGCAGCCAGGCCTGCGGCTCAGCAGTCGCATGCGCTGAACCTGCAGAGGCCACCGGGCGCAGAGGTGGCCGCTAAGGGGATGTGGGCCTGCTGTAGGATGTCACGATGACACCATCACTAAAATTAAAGTCCTGACAAAACTCGGTCCCGAGACAGGATCAGCTTAGAGGTAAGCCAGCAGGCGGTACTTGAGAAAGCACTTGGTGCTGGCTTTCTTAAATATGCGAAGTGCTACAAACGGCATCCACACCGCGCTCTCCAGACAGCTACAGTTGTACTTAGGCTGTGAAAAGCCAGGAAATAGTAACTTCTGAAATCTTTCCCCACGGCCACTACTTTGTTAGCATCTTCAATCTAGAAGTCCAGTAGCAAATAGCTGTTATCTTTAAAAATAATATAAATCAGCTCCTGTTCACTCAGCAGTGTCCAGTCATCCTTTTTCTCAACAACTGGGAGTCCCTTTTGGAAACAGTCAAATGCAGCTGCCCTTAAATCGGATTTATGGCAGCACTGTTACCACCAGCACTATGACTCTCAAGAGAAATAAATGTGATAATCGTGACACAGATTTCTGTGCAGAGGAGAGCTAAATATTGAGCGTAACCCACGCTTTATCTTTGCCAATACGCAAAATAACCATTGCCATGCTTCCCAACCGAGGACTCCACGCAGCCACTTGCTGAAGATGGAGGTCCCTCACACGCCATTTCTTATGTCTGTTCTTACACTAAATTGTATCAGGAACCTGACTTCCAGTGAATCAGTTCCTACAAGTTAGGACACATCATTACTGTAACCACTGCATCACTGACAGTTCTCATAACCCAGCCCTAAGTTCAGCTTTAAAACCAAGCGTTCAGATTTGTCTGCCACGCTTTGATAACCTTGTGACTGCAGACGGGTGAGCAGATCTTCATTTTCTAGGGTGGACAGCATCAGCGAGCATTTAACTCTTTGGTCCTCAACAGGCTATTCCTTACTTCTGTCTAAGGATCCTTAGAGGGTTTGCTCACTGTCCCCACTGTCCCCCACTGTCCTCGGACCGTTTCTCCCGGTCGCACTGTTCATGGCATGCTTTGCTCCACATACAGGTCGGGGTCTCTCTGCCACAGCTTCTCAGTGGCTGCCATCCGGAGCACAGCACACTATGCTCCCGCTTGAGACAGGGGTTTCTCAGTACTAGGACCACGTCCAGAGGTTGCAGACCTCTGGTCACGTTAGAAATAACAGACCCGCGCCCTCGCCTGGGGCACCGCCGGGTCAGCGCCCCCCTCACGGCCCTAGAAGCGTGATGGGACAGTTCGTCGTAAGGGAGACATACTGTTCTCCCTGCCCATGAAGCTTACCATGTGCAACGGGGAAAAATTGTTTTGAAGACTGAATTTGCCCCGACCATCCCCCGATCCTCTGGAAGGGCTGGGGGGGGAAGCACGCCCTGCTGCCCTCTCGAGTCTCCGCCCCCGCGAGTGGAGATCGAAGTAGGAGAGAGAAACCAGAGCAGAGGCACAGAAAACGCAAAACCAGACTGGTCCGGGAAGGAAATTATCAGCAGAACACAGAAGAGAAAAGACAAAAAGGTAGGCACTGCTCTGCACCTGCTTCAAGGGTGTTTCCCGTTTTCAACATCAATAGCATTGCCATGAAATACTATTAAATAATGTAATTTAATAAATCCCACTGAAGGACCATGGTGGTTAACTAACTGAGCTACTGCCTTTCAGCTTCTGAAGCTGGCTAAAGCTGCTAGCTTTCCGCTGTTTCGAGAAGGTTTCAGCTGTTCCAGGGCAAGGGCTGACAGCCTCAGCTCCGACCGGTCAGCGGGGAGGAGTCCCCTGCACAAAGAACATTAGCAAAAGAACTTAAAACACAGGAAGGGGCCAAACATCTTGGTGGTGGAGAGACCCAGAGAGCAGGCTGCGGAAGGGTAATTTATCGTCTTCCTGGAAGGAGATGGAAGGAGAGCAGGTTATGCCTTTCACCCCAGGCTCCCAACCAGGATAATGGAGGGACAAAGAGGAGGAGGAGGAGGAGGAGGGCGGGTCGTCTTCAGTTCTCCCTAAACACGCTCCTTTTCAAATGCAGCCGAAACCACAGGAAGTACTGAGAATGATTCCCCAAACGAAGCCAGAGTTTGAAAGATCCATTTCCTCTCATGCCTTCGAAGACTACAGAATCTTACTTTTTCTGTTTTGTTTTGGTTTAATTCTTTTCCCCAAAAGCAGAGGTCTATTCACTGTTTTATTTTAAAGATAAATAGTGCAAGTCTGGTATTCACCTGCTGAGTTTAGAAAAGGGATACCGAAGCACTTTCTCCAGAAGGCAGGAAAAGGCAGCAAGGATCTGCAGACTTCTGCTTGAACTAGGTCAAGATAGCTGTTCATCAGCAAGAAAGCTCCTAGTGCTATAGATTGAGACTCAAAGTATTCTGGCATGAACATACTAGGTTATTGGGAGGCATACGGCGGGGAAAGCTACTTTTAATTTCTATTAATGACCTTTTGTTCGACCTTGATCAGATACAACCCCTTTTTTTAGGTCTTATTCTACATTAGTAAGATAATAATCACACTCTTACTGCTTAGAAGGGCTGTTATTAATTATAAATGAACTTGGGATTTAAAGTATTCCTAAAAAAGCTTCAGCAAATAAAGACAAATTTAGGGTATCATGTATCTTTATGTCCTAATGTACCTGCCTGAAAGCGTAGTATCAAAATGTCAGAACACAACATCTAGGCCCCTGGCTTATTGCTAGAGTATTTTTGATCAGAGAGGACGCAAAGGGTGAGAGCAGAAGGCACAAACTGCTTAGGAGAGCCCTACTAGAAAGCACCTTGCTTGCAGGTTTCTGCTTGAAGTCTTGTAAACACGGTATTTTTCAAGCAGCCATATGGTTTCAGTTTGATAGGGCTTATCATTCAGAACATTCCAATTGACTGGCCTAAGTTGTACCTTTCCCAAAACTGAAAATAAACATCTGGCAGCATCTGTTACCATGTTTTCCATGCGTGGTGGGACAGCACTGAGAGATGGACAGGCATCCCCCCCGGAGAGGGGGAAAGGCGGGGGGGAAGGGCTGCAGCATTGTAAGATAAGCTATCCTGAACGGGGCGGCAGAATTCAGTGGAAGAAAGGATGTGGCATCCAATGCAAGGCAGCTTCAGGGAGACTGTCTGTCACATTCTGCAGTATAAGCACGTACTGTGTAAGACTAGAATCCGCTTGTATAGCTGACTGTATGGGATAAACTTGATTATAACCATGAACTCGATTAAACTATGCAGGTGCTTTTTAAATAGGGACTCCTTCTTTCATGTCAGTGTCCAAGACTGAAATGCCTTTTTTTTTTTTTTTCTGCTTTTAATTTAAAAGATGTTCCCCCCCCAAAAAAAAAAAAAACAAAAAAACCTAGCTATAGTTTCCTGCTGGTTTCAGGCAGCTAGGACTTCCAAGATATCAGCTAGACCAGCTTTGCCACCCTGTCCTCCCACAAAAAAAAAAAAAAAAAAAAAAAAAAAAATCAGATTTTACTAGTGTTGCCTTGGTTTTGGGTCATCTTAGCAGGTACCTCAGAAATGAGGTCTCAACAGTTCTTTACAGTGCTTCCCAGAGAGAAATTCTAAGACAACAGCTCAACTCAGGTAAGTAGTTTCACTGTATGAACTCTTCCTTAACAAGGTCTTAGCTAGCAGAATCTCGTTTCTTAAAGCTGGCAGTAAGAACTTCAAGCCTTCTCCACAGATAGCAAAAAAGATGACCAGTGGTATTAGCAAGTTAAAACCTTGCCACTGTGGGATTCAGAACACAAGCCTGCGTAGCTCCAGCTTGCAGGGAGTGAGGATAATGCAGCACAGGGTTACAGCAGCCACCCAGTGCCTCTGGGCAGTGGGTCAGATCACCCGCTTCAGCTTTGGGAACACTGCTGATTTAGTTCAGATTCAATTGAAGTCAGTGCCTATTTGGAAGTCGCTCTTGCAGCTTTTAAAAAGGCTTGCTATACAATGCAAAATTCTTCCCGAGAGGTGAGAAAGGGCTTGAAAGTATATAAAAAGTACAGTACAAAATCTGCATATTAATACAAATCCCCTAGAGATGCTCTGAATTACAAGGATCTCATCATCAAGATGTGACCTAAAGACAAGACTTGGAGTAGCTAAGGTTCTTGGAAGCTGTTCCTGTGGATCTTTTCAGTCTGATTTGCAACTTAAGTCTCCTCTTTGTGCAGTCTAATGATGAGAAACCACAGCCTAAACTATTCTGCTGTACTCCCAGTTCTGCTTCAGAGACTGGAATATTTGTGCGTTTTGCTTTTTCTTTGAACAAAATCTTTAAAAAAACCAAACCCACAAACTCTCTCTCTCTTTTTAAGCCTTGATTCCCAATTTATGACTCATTCATCTGTCATACTCCGATTTCACCAGCTATTGTCCAGCTGCCTTCTCTGGTTTTAAATAAACAGTCTGGGCTCCTAATTTCTGGAAGTAGCAGTTTTCTCATATAATTGGGTTAGTTCTCTATTTGCTCAGGGATCACATAATGTAGATAATAAAAAGCTGGCAGTGTGGGAGACAGTGCCTGAGTATTATTTCAAAGATTTGGAACTTCAGAGCAATCCTAGAGATTGGGAATTAAATTGTATCTTGCCTGCTACTCTACCTCACTCCCAGCTCTTGTTTGTATAGGAGGCATTATATTTTTAAAGCAAGAGAGAAAATGGACCTCTGATGCTGGACTCAAGGTCAGGCTTCACTGGAGTTATTTTACTAACATACATTTGCCTGGTCTTTTACAGTTACTACAAGGTCACCAAGATAAAAGAAAGGGCAAAATACATCTTCTCAGGGATTTTTTGTACAGGGATTAACAGAGGAGCCAGAAGCCCACAGCAAAGCGCATCGCCTTCATAGGCAACATGACCTCAGAGAGCCCTTCACTGCCTTTGTCTGTCACATCCAGCATATTTTTCTGCTATGAGATTAGAAACGGCATTCGGTACAGCAAGGGAAAAAACCCTTTCAGCACTAAAATTTTGTATATGCTCAAGACTACGCCGTGTTATGAGCTTGGCCCCCTGCTGCTCAGAATTTTCTCTCTGCCCAGCAGCTGCCCTGAAGTAGTCAGTGATTACACAAGGCGCTTGGCTTCAGTGGAAGAAATAATTTTTCCTCCTTTGTCAGGAAACAAAATGGGGGAGGGGAACCAGTGCACAAGATGGTAGCATATCTCAATGCAGTCAGTGGCTACAGAAATCTAAATTCACACTTCTGCCAATAAACTTGCTTGCCCAAGGCCAGACAGAAATAAATTTTGCTAGAGTGGGAAGAAATACAGATGTATCACAGGACCCAAATGTCCTTCCTATAGCTGTCTGTGGCCAGGTCAGAGCAGCAATTTCACCAGGTAGGAAATTAACCTCTGCTGAGTGATGTAGATTTTCAAAGCAAATGAGATGAATGGAGGCAGAAATCCAGATTCATCCTTAACCCCAGCCACACCATACCAGCCAGCGATCTCCCACAGGACATCATTGAAGGTTCTCGCCTAAGAATACTGCTGTAGGAGACAGACTATATAAATCAGTCTGGAGGAAGCAGAAACTCTTCATCTGGGATGGAAGAGGGCTTTGTCTGAAGTGTAAAGCTGCTGAAGGGAATATAGGGAAAAAGATGTAGTTGGGAAATGACACAAGGGAAGAAATGCTGCAACGAATAAATGAGAACATCAGACCAAAAGCTAGCCTCCCAGCCAATTGCCATACTCTCCCTTTTTAGCAAATGCATATGACAGTAGTAGAAACTAAAAGCTCAGCTGGGGAGAAGCTGTAGAAACATTGAAAATCAAAGACATAGCAGTGCTTTCCCCACTCGTCAAAGTCTCTTTGCCAACACATCCTCTACACAAGAAAGAAGCCCTCACTCTCACGCAAAGCAGCAGTCTGTGCAGAAAATGCAAATGCTCTTACACCCCTGTGATCACAAACTGACCCTCCAGCAGATTTTTGTGCCCCTGAAAGAGATCTTTGAGATTCAGGTCACTGAGGCCTACTTAAGAGAACACTTTCCAATCAGCATTATAGTCCTTCATTAGACAAGTCCATCTCTCTAATAACGCACACGATCCTGTTAGGCTTCCAGCAATCTTGGGAAAAGGACCTGGAATTTACTTCTACCAGTGTTATTCCCCAGGAAACACTGAGTTTTCTCCAGACCTAAAAGGGGCGTCCTTTAGCTTGTTGGGTTTCTAAGTTGATCAAGTAAAAGCACATCTGGGTCCAGCCTGGCAGTTTCCCCTGTGCAGGGACTCCAGGACAGCTAGGCCAGATGGCTGAGGACTGCAGAGTATAAAGTGTATTTTAATGTAAAAACAATTTTTATAATTTAAAACTTTTATTTAAACTTACGACCCTGAACTCCATTCACACTGTAAAATGCCTTTGTTCAACATTTTTTTTTTTTGTCTCTATAGATAACTCGGAGATTTGGAGGTGATGTGGAAAACACTCAGAATGGAAGGCAAACTCCCATGTCTCCTCTTGTTGGTGGGAGCAATCATGACTGCTCAATGCCAGGTAAGAGGCTAATGCATCAAATAAACACAGGAGGATGGCAAGAGCATTTCAGCAGCACTTCCTTACCATTGACTCCAGCTGTCTGCATCAGACAGAATGAGAATCTGGTTATACCCCTAGAAATCAGAGGAAGGAAAACCTTACAAAGCAGTCTACCGCTAAGCTGGGATTTCCAGTAGTGTGTTATCCTGGCTGGTTTTCATTTCAGTAAGCAAGTCTTCTCCAAATCTTGTTGGTGTATCTGTTCACTGTCACCTTTCACTGCTAATAAGAGTTCTCTTGTGATCACCCTTTAATCTTCCTTCTGTTGTCATCACCTTCATCATTACTCTCACTTGAACTGGACATCAATGGTTCCCATATTCCCTCACTTCAAGTCTCACATTGCACAGCTTGAGTAAACCCTACACAATTCTAAAATGTTTAGTCTCTTTCCCAAAAAATTGCTATACCAGCCTTCCTCTTTCTTTTTATGTTATTCTTTCTCCTGTGGCCTGATAAAGAAGTTTTCTAAATTGGTTTATTTCTTAAAACTTTATCCAAAATATTTATTTAGTTGGCTGCAGGAGACATACTTCTCAAAGGCAATCAAGCTGCAATTGCTTACAGGGAAACTGCGTGTCAATGAGCAAAAATAACCACTTGTTCTTTCGAAATTATTTGCTTGAACCTCCTTCAAATAGGAGAAGGCTGACAAGCTTTAGTTAGCACTTGCAATGCCCCAAGAGCACATAATCACTTCACGCACGACGCGAGTACAGACATCCCAAGTTCACATCACTCAGATGACAAGCAATCACCTGGTAATTGGTGGCAACTCAATGATTTACAATTCTCGGTACCCAAGCTGAGGTACTAGAGGCACTTTTCCCTGTACTGTCTGACAAGGAGGGCAGACAGTTGCTCAGAGCTCCCCTGATTTATGAGACCTCCAGAAAAGGACCGGCTCTTCAGAGGCACTTGTTCTCTCAGTTTTCTTAAGAGAGCAGTTACTCACCAAATTAACCTTTGCTTGCAGGGCTTACGCATGCGTTTCAAACGGGGAGCCAGATCTAGAGGTAAGCCAGGCAAACTACAACTGTGTTACCTGCAGCTTTATGAATACAGGAGGGGACAGCAGATGATACTGAGGGAACGGAGCCTGAAAGCTGTTTGTCACGGTTATCTGAATGAGATTCGGACAGCAAAATACCAGACCATTAATACCATCCACAACTCAAAGTACAAAGTTCCCCCCTCCCTCTGCACTTTTTGAAAGAAAAAGAGGCCAGTGGATAGTGGAACAGTACATCCAGCAACACAGCAGTGAGAGAAATGGACAATTGTGGTCTAAGAAGGAAAAAGGGCTGCCTGTTAGACAGATGCTCCCATCATGGATCCTTTTCTCCTGGAAAGAGAAGGGACTTAGCTTGCTCAGCCAGGTCTTCTCCTTGAATCTCTAAAAGATGATTTCCTTTCTCCAATTACAGCCATTTGCAGAGACAATTCATCTGGAGAAATTTACCAGCACAGGGGGACCTGGCTGAGGCTCTCGGGGAGCAGAGTAGAATACTGTAGGTGCACCAGTGGTCAGAGTCGCTGCCACACTGTGCCTGTCAGAGGTGAGTACGAAGAAGAAAAAGAGAAAGGAAATAGTGGGGGATGAGAGATTGTCCATCTGCTCATCCTAAAGAAGAACTCCACTGTCAGGGAAGGAGCTATCACACAGAAAATTCGGCTTGAAATAGAATAGGATAGAAATGAAAATACCAATATATACAGACTCAGGCAGGACTAAGTGGGAGTGGGCAAGGGGCTGGGGAAGGCTCCTAGTAGTGTATGTGGAGAGAATGGAGCAAAGGAAAAATGTAAGCACTACACAAAAAGATGGTAAACACATGACAGCAACAGGTAGGCAGGGAAAAATAGAACAGGCTAAAGGAGACTGACAGGAGAGATGGGTATACATTGCCAGCTTCTTACTTGTGTGAAATCTAACATTATTTCCTGTTTTTTTGCTTATTCCACAGCCTGCACCAGAAATAAATGCTACAATGGGGGCCAATGTTCACAGGCATATTATTCCCCACATCTCTTCATCTGCCAGTGCCACCAAGGTTTCTCTGGGAAGCAGTGTGAAATAGGCAAGTATACCATATCAATTACTGTGAATAATGCTACTAGTTTTAGCTATGCAATGCAGAAGGATGAGGCCCCCAGAAGCTGCTGCTGTATACTAGGCTCTCTGCTAAGTTGCCTCTTTTTATTCTATACTACAAAGAACTTTTAAGAAGGACAGCTGGGCTTTTCTCAGTGTCTCTTAGTAAAACTCTAAATTTTGGAGCTGAAGACCTTTGTGTATACTTACAGTGTTGCCTGGCAAGGCATTTTCACTGACTTACTAGACAAGACATCTGGGAGCCAAGTTTAAGCAGAAGAGACACTGGGGAAGCAGAGTTTGGGATGCTGTCCTTTTAGTAACAATTTGTTCCCTTTTGTTCAGATACTGAAGTCAAGTGCTACAAAGACATTGGAGTAACATACAGGGGTACGTGGAGCATGACAGAGAGCGGAACTGAATGTTTAAATTGGAATAGCGATGGCTTGATGGACCGGAAATACAACGGCCAAAGAGAGGATGCTGCTGAGCTGGGATTGGGAAATCACAACTATTGCAGGTGAGCGGCTAATTGCACACAGGTCAGAGCCACAGGAATCAGCCCATTTAAGAGCTTGCAGCAAAGGAATGGCTGTTTGCAGCAGTCTAATACCAAGGAGAGAACTCTGCACAGATGCAAATACGGCACAGCCCATGAGCATCCATTGCAACTTCTGCAGACATATCTGAACTTCAGATCTATCTAGATGGGATGCTTATGACAGACTACAAAATACATACATCTCTCACCCCACAGTCTTTCCCTTGTCAGTGCCTAAAACTCCCTTTGTAAGCCAGTTTCCTGCAGTTCCAGATCCTGCTCAAAACTCTAAAAATATAGTGCTTCCTGCACATTAACTAAACTGCACAAACAAGCTGTCCACTCCTGCTAGCTACTGGCTGTCTCATTCTCACCTCCATGTACTGCACAATTGTATAATTAAATAGGAATCCAAATTACTTCTGATGGTTCAGTCTGCGTCTTCACTGCAGAGCAGGATTAAATTACTGAACTAGATGGCAGACATGGGACTAATAACAATAGCTTTATAATGATGCATAATATCGTAACTCTTTCAGAAACCCAGATGAGGATTCCAGACCTTGGTGCTATATCTATAAAGGGGGAAAGTACATCTGGGAACACTGCAGTGTGCCCTCCTGTTCAAAAGGTACATGCAGGGGGACAGGGAATGGACTTCAGAGCTCCCATGATTCACTGCATATATAAGGGTTCTCTGTGGATTTCTGCTATTTCTGTAGCCTGAAAAGTTGAGAGTCTCACGTTAAATCATGCTTAAGCTTTTAATGTTTATGACAACAAGAGGCTGAGGTAAGTATAGCTAATATATAGATGCCTTGACAGAAATCACAGTTAGGAACAGCTGACAGGTTCACATCCATCAGTTAACATGCAGCTTTCTTATTGAAGTTGGGAACATGAACTGCAAATCTGGAAGAGGCACAGATTACCGAGGAAGCCACAGTGTTACCAGTTCTGGAGCGACCTGTTTGAGGTGGAATTCCCGAATCCTCATCAACAAGTTATATACTGCTTGGAGAAGAGATGCTTACCAGCTGGGCCTTGGTAGTCACAATTTCTGCCGGTATGTAGTCAGTTATAGAATTAAAAAAATCCCACTGAACTTCCTTGTGGTTCTCTTGAGGCAGGGCTCTAATCTTTTACATGGGTTATTAAAGCACGGGAAATACATTACTGCTGGGAATGAAGCTCACTGACAATAGTAATTTTATTTCACCTGACCTATCTATGCTTCTCTAACATCAGACTCCATAAATGCAAATTCCACATGCCTCTAGGGCCCTCTGTATTTCTAGAAAAATCAAAAAGAGTACACTCGGGTCAGCCTCTGCCACCTTTAGGTCTCCCCAAACTCCCTGCAGATCTGATAATACAAATAGCTCTTCTCTCTCCTGTGCTGCAGGAATCCGGACGACGACAGCAAGCCCTGGTGTCACGTATTGAAAGGAAATCGGCTCACATGGGAGTACTGCAACGTGCCTACTTGCTGTAAGGTTCCTAGCACTCCTGATTCTTCTCTTTCTTTGAGGCATTACTGCTCTGCGTGTCATTTGTATTAAACTTGAACCTCTTACAGTAAAATAAGAGCTGAGGGGAAAAAAAAAAGCTTTTTGGAGTAGAAAGATACTCTGTGACTCCACTCCCACAGAAGTGCCTTTTTCTCTGCCAGAAGGGAAGACTGCAGAAATGGAGGACAGAAAAGGCAGGGTTTCCTTACTGTATTTTTCAAATCAGAATACAAGTTTCCTAGGAAACAGGAATGAGTCAGACACTAAACAGTTCGTGCCAGGCTGCTTCAACATGCACTGACAACTAACAGGCTCTTAACTCAAACTCAGAGCAAGAGTGCCTGAACAAAAAGCCTGTTTTTGGGTTTGTCATCCACAGCCACCTGCGGCTTACGGCAGCGCAGAGTACATCAATACAGGATTAAAGGTGGCTCCTATGCAGACATTGCAGCTCACCCGTGGCAAGCTGCCATCTTTGTGAAGTACCGCCGAGCACCTGGAGAGCACTTCCTCTGTGGAGGAATTCTGATCAGTTCCTGCTGGGTATTGTCAGCTGCTCACTGTTTTGAGGAAGGGTAAGTTGAGGATTCAGTACTGTCTGGGGGAAAAAAAATCTGGAAAATGGAAGCATCCAGTATAGCCTTACTGGAAGGGTAAAAGACTTGAAAAAAGGTCTTTATCCCAGTAAGTCATTCTACACTGAAGACTGTAGTTAATTGTGCTGAGCATTACAGACAGGCATTAATTGGGCAAACTAGTGGCATGGCATTAAGGTACCACAGCAGAATATCAAATAGCTGAAGAACAAAGATGTCAATACAGATGCAGAGCCGTCTGAAACTTGAGAACAGCAAGGGTCTGGCAGAGGAGTTTTGCCATGATGGCTGTAAGCAATTAGCACAAAAATGAAGGCAAATAGGACACTTGAGGTCAAACTGCCTGGGTAATGAAGTAGTAGTAGTGCTAAAATAAGAAAAGCGGAAGCTCCAACAGCACATCTTCAAGGGAAGGGGTCCACTCCAGTTACCACAGGAAGAAAGTAAGACACTCTTATTCTTCAGCTTTAGTACCAATCAGCTGAAGATTGTGCTGGGTAGGACTTCCCGAGCAACTCCTGAGGAAAATGAACAAAAGTTTCAAGTGAAGAACTACACTGTGCATCAGAGATTTGACTCAGAAAATTTCAACAATGATATTGGTAAGAACTTTTTTCACCTCGTGACTGGAAAGGTCACGGCTAGCTCAAGTTTGTGGTTAATGAAGGAGGGATTTTTTCCCTCTTCAGCTCTTTTGCAGTTGAACTCGGATGCAGAAGCCTGTGCTATTGAAACAGACACTGTCCGTGCTGCCTGCCTTCCAACACCAGAACTGCAGCTGCCTGACTGGACTGAATGCGAGATCTCTGGTTATGGTAGAAATGAAGAATGTAAGTAGAAAATACATGTCTACATGTAAATAGGAGATACTAAGTCCAAAGTTTGGATCCCCTGCCCTCAAAGAATTCAAGCTTTTAGCATTGCTTGATGTGTGACTCCCTGAATGGGCTTATAACAGCACTACAAAATGTATGTGTAAGCGGGAGATAGTTTTGCTCTAAGTTACTTCATTTGTCTGAGTTCTGTCAGCTGCATGGGCTGCTAGACTCTTCCTTGATAGTCTCCAACATCAGAAACACAAAAAGTGGCACAATGGATAAGGTAGAAAAGACAAAATTTGCAATCAGGACCACCACATTTCTGCCGTACTGAGTACATTTAGATATTGTCATTCTGACAGAAATCCATTTCTGTCAAGATTTAATATACTACACAATTGCAGGTAGTTGCATTATTCTAAAAGATGTATTAGCTGTGCTGTGCTTAGCAAAAAAAAAAAAAAAAAAGCTGAAGAAGTAACCATTCCAGATATATATTATATTAAAAGGCTGGCTAAATGTTATTTAGTGAGCTACAACAAACAGGAATAAAACCTGTCTGAAAGTATACACAGGCCGACCTGTATTTAAAGCAAACAAAAAACCCCAGCTCTTATTTTACTAGCACTTTCTACTGATTTATTCTCTAACTTGTGAACTCTCTGAGACAGAGACTGTGAGGCATCCATCATAACAAGACCTAATAATTATTTGAACCCGTAGGGGTTTTGGAACAGACTTGAAGATTTAACATATAAGCGTGGCATGAAGTGTTTTTAAAGTGCTTTTAAATATAGTCCTCACCATCGTTTACAGGGAGTACAGGATAAACTCTTTGAGAGGGAAAGGATGCTGCAACTGTAATTCAAAACTAGACTGAAAAACAACAATTCTGCCAACTTTCAGCTTTGTGCAATTGCAGCTATGCAGGAGAATAAAACCAACACCCAAACCAACCAACCAAAACCCACCTTCCATTCCAACATAACAGAAGTGTACATTCCTCTCCAGTTACTCAGTACTGTGTACGACAAGGCATCTGATTTGTGTTACTTTGTGTTGTACTAAAAAGCCAGGATCTCGTTTCATACAGTTAGTGATTTTCACAGACTTCATTTTGATTGATGTAACTGTGCAAAGACAACTTATCCATCCACAAAACCCAGCAGTCTTTAAATTGGAGTCTACAAAAACCTCTTTAGTATTTAAGCTGGCTAAAGAATCAATATTCTCTCTCAACTAGATTTAATCTGTTTTCACTAGCAAAGCAGAACCCCCAAGAATTAAAAAAGACCCTTTGGCAAGGAAATACTAGTTTATCCACTCCACTCCCCCCAGCGACTTCTGTTACTCTCCCTAAACTACAGAAACTGAACTGCAATTTTTTTAAAAAACATATATACACAGACATATATACGTATTGACATTGCCAATTTTCTTCCAGTTTCTCCATTCTATTCAGAACACCTGAAGGAAGGCCATGTCAGACTGTTCCCAGCCAGTCGGTGCACAACACAGCATCTAGACAACCGGACAGTTACAGACAATATGTTATGTGCAGGAGACACAAGGCACCTTGACGATGCCTGCAAGGTAAACCCAATTCTGTTCCTCTTTTCTTTTTAGGTTTGTCCTTGATAGTCTGAGCTAACCAAACAAAAAGCTTCAGAAAACAGTTTAAAGAAGTTCTGCATTTGGCTACATGGAAGTTCTAGTAGACTTGTTGAACAGAACACAACTGCTGGCTCTTTCTTTTTTCTTCCCCTGCCCCTCGTAGCTGTGAGAGCAGGCCATACTTAACCAAGCAAACCAGAACAGTAAAGACCGAAAATCCCAAATATAGGAAATACCACAAAACCAAGAAGGAAACTCCACCTCAGCAGCATTTCCTAATATTTTATCTAATGTGAGCACGCAAAACACTCAGCAGTAGGTACTGTAAGAGGAAGGGGGTGCCACTCTACTGAGAAGTGGAGAAAAGAATAAAGGCCAAAAAATGGTAGAGAATGAGCAGCTGTAACATGAAGAAAAAGGAGGGAGGGCAAGCAGTCAATCCACATCCTTTCCACTTAACCATCACTTCAATAATTTTGCTTTACTGTTACACACAGCACTGTAAAACACCCCGGATCTTTATAGCTTGAATAAAAGCATTCCTTTTTGTTCTTATCAATGTCTCACCTACATTTCCTAGATGAGCGCCATACAAAGCTAGATGCTTTAGTGTTAGATTTGTTGGAGTCTCTCCCCATGAGAGGAGCACAGAGGGAGTCTGGAACACAAAAGTGGCTTATGTGAAAGTGCTGTTACTAAGAGCTCTTCATTTGTAATCATACTACATAGGCTATTTCCATAGACACTAGTGCACCACTAAAGCCAGTGGGGGGAAAAAACCAACACAAAACCAAACAAACAGATTGTTACTAACCTGCTACTTCTCCGTAGGGTGACTCTGGAGGGCCTCTGGTCTGTATGAAGGATGATCGTATGTATCTAATTGGAATCATCAGCTGGGGAATAGGCTGTGGCCGCAAAGACATACCTGGCGTTTATACAAATGTGAATCGTTATCTTGACTGGATTCAGGACAACATGAAACCCTGAGAAAGAAAAATGAACTATCCATAATCTTGTGGCCGTGCCCCTGCAGCTTCCTTCTGGGTGCTTTAAGGATGCTGACAGGGCTTCCTGTTTGTCCAGATGCTTATGACTTTCAGTACAGAGGAAGACGAACTGCAGTGTGTGGGAAGGGCACACTCTCAGATTACTCTCCTTATTACAGGTTATCGGAAGCTAACACTCCTTTCTCCCACATCTCCAAAGCTTTCTCTTTGCATCACATCACGAGTACAATTAAAAATAAACTTTGGCCCGAGAGAATAAACCAAGAGAGAATATCATGCATCCCATGAGCAGCTATGTTGTTTTGGGAATGGGTGTGAACTGAAGGCAAAGGGGACAGATTTAATTCCCTGAAAACTTCATCTCCCTCCTTATTTGGCTGTAAATTTGGAAGACATCCCAGTCAGGCTTAAGCTCTGTCCTTACACCATTTCACTTTGGTTACTTAAGCTGGTTTCAGCTTGACTCCAATAGAAAAAGCAAAACTGTAGGCATGGGCTGCTTATTTCCGTATCAATATACTACTTGCTTTTTCAGTTTGGAACTTGTTCATTAACTGAATCTGAGCTAAAACTCTCTGAGCAAATACAGGATGGCATGTTTGTTAGGACATTCTATTCTTCCACTTGCTTTTCCTCCTGCTAGGAACTAAATATTTAAATAAGTATGGAATAGGTAAAAATCTTAACACCAGCCTTATCTGCCACAGAATCAACACACTGCTTTTTGACTATTACATTTCTGTGCGTTATCATCTGATACGAAAGCAAGAGCTCTCTTTAGCGCAGAGAACAGAACAAAGGACAAGTATAATAATAGTTTTAGGTGCCTGCTAGGTTTACATTCATGAGTAAAGATCAAGTCAAATGTCACAAGGCTTCATTTGTCCTTTAACAGAACCAGGACAGGTACAGCCAGGTCACCGTAAACTAGAATCTCAGTAATCAAGCATTACTTACTTGCATTGCAGTTGCCATGTGATGTAAAGTGTTATCTATGCACCTCCTAAGAGTTAAGCCTCTTCGGGAGATTCTCTCGTCCGATTGTTTTATAAAATAAGAGAAAGCAGGTGTGACTGCTGTTTGACAAAAAGAAAAAATTACATTGAGGCTACAAAAGGAGTTTAGTATCAATTGGGCATTGTAGCTAGAAAACTAGTCTTGTATTTGAGAAATTCAAGCTTTGTAACTCAAGAAGTTTTACTCTCACAGTTGTAAGGAGCTCTCTGATGTTCTACTAGCACAGCCTCTAGTCAAGTAGAGAGGCTTATATAAGTAAGTACAGAGGAGAGATTTGGTAAGGATGCTCGTTACTTCCTCAGATGGGTTTTGTAAACGGCAACTTTACAAATGGTCCATTTCTTTCTAGCTACCAGCTTAGGACCTCAAAGAGATGTTCTCTAATGTCCTCAGAGAAACAGTGGTGTAAGTCCAGTTAGCTTCAGCAATGAGTCCCATATTCCAGCCAGTGGAAGGGGAAAAAAACCCAAAAATGTTTACTAAAAGTAAGTCACAGTTCAGGTTTTTAGTGTGGTTTTTTGTTGTTGTTAATTGTATTTTATTATGTATTAACCTCGAGAAAAAGACAATTTCCATTCCTCTCCCCTAAACCCATTTCTAAGTGCTGCTGTGCCTCACTGTCCTGGCATTCACAAGCCTGCCAAATATTTGCAGCCTGTAAAACACCCAAAACTGTTCCAATGACTAACACAGGTAAGTGTCCTCAGGAACACAACTTCTGTTTCACAATTCAGTCTGTTAAATACATTATTTGAGCTTGATGTGATCTAACAGCCACCAATAAAATGTAATTGAACCACACCTGATACTGACATATATTAGAAAAATACATCCTACAAAAATACAAGTTGCAGAGAACAGCTTTACATCACAGCTGTTACCAGGTCCTTGAAAATACCCTTGTGTGAAATACCCAGTGTGATGAGAGAGCTACACAAGCCTTGGCTGCCAACTCCGCACTGGTTACTTCTTCCATCCTGGTCTGCCTTCTGTGACATCTTCTCTGCAGCTGACTTAAAGAAGGGCCCAGAATCAACTCAAAAATTTTCCAAATGCTTCTTTATCTCTCATTTTGTAATTACGTTCTCCAGCCTTACTTCTTGCATTTCATTTCTCAAAAGTTGCTGCCACCTAGCTCAGTGCATTTAACTGCATTTCTCTGGTGTGTTTACCCATTACATCCCTCCCTGATAAAAGTCCCCAAGATAGTTTCCATCTCTACGACATCAGCTTTTCCTCTTCTTACCCTGTTTTTTCCCCTGTACTTGTCCTCTTCCAACACACAGTAGCACCATCTTGAGGCAAGGTCTTGGACAATAATGACTGCCATCTGCTTGCCTCATCTTTCTTCTCACTTTGCAGTTGATGTTGTCATATTCAATTCTTTCAGAACCTGAGTCAACATCAACATTTATTGTAACTGAAGTACACGGGCACACCTCACATCTCCCCCCAAAACTCCTTACATCATCATCTACCCAGTTATCTCACTGATGTTGCTCCCTGCTTCTTCCTTCTGCCCTGCTTCATCTTTCTTTCCATAAGAACTTCCAGCCATCTCAGACTGATACAGAAAGGGTCACACACCCTTATACATTTAAGAAGCCTTTCAAGATCTCGAGTAACATGAATCACTTTAGCAGGAAAGAAAAGATACTTTAAAAAAAACAAAGCTACAAAGCCAAAGGACAATATCAGTACTTGACAAACAGGAAGGTGAAGAGGATTTCATTGTCTTCATAATTAAAGCACAGCCCTTAGTCTGCTACCGAAAACCCTACCTAGTAAACAAAAATGATTCAGCTGCATTCTTAAAGACACAGTTTCACTGAGGTTCTAGGAAGAGCTTAGCACTCCTCTGGGAAAACACTAAGAAAAATTACCGAGAAAGTAATTAATTTTAGCTTTTCAGACAGTGACTTAGTCCCAATCTTACAATCCCAATTGCATAAAGACAATTATCTGCCTAAGGCACCCTCTAGCCACAATCCAACTGGCATAATTTACCTTCCTCCTCAATACCAGCTGTATTTCTTGTGAAGCCCACACAAACCACTCTGAAATGACGCAGATGACATGTAAAAATGAATTTTATTGATGCCCTTGCTGAAGGTTGTATTTGCACTGAACATGCTCAGCAGTAAGGCCACCTGCTATGGCATGCATCAGTTGCTTTTGGAATTGCAAGTTCCAGTGCAAGATGCCACTGCAAGTATCCATCACATGCAAACCAGGATGTATGTTATCCTTCATTTAGGGTCACCTTGTTCTTTTCACAACCATGAACTGCACATGCTGGACTCCACAGCCACCTGACATGCTGTAGTCACATGTGCAGCAGCTTAGGGACAAGTTCTGCTGCCACAGAGAAAACACATTGGCATCTAGTGGCCAAAGAGCACATTACAGATGATACTGAACAGTGCAGATGCCTCTCATTTCATATTTATGCTGTACAGAGATATGCAGCATGGACTGGAATGGGCAAATGCAGCAACAGCTCCTGCAGAAGAGATGGTCCCAGTGAAAAATCCAGCGTAAGCTTGAACCCACCTGCACAGCAGCTGGTTGATACAGGAACTGGAATGAGGTAGGACAGCCAGGAACACTACAAAGGTACCAGGACACAATTATCTCAAAGACAGAAATCAGTGAGCAGGAGAACGGCAGTATCACCTTCATTTGTAATAGGCAGGCAGAGACAAAAAGAGGTTCCAACAAGGTACTAGGATAGTGATCATCTTCATTTAGCCACAGCTTCAGTTTCCATCAGTGCTATGTCTCCACAAAAATTCTCCTGCCTCTCTGTCTCTTCCCTGACTCCCCAAAGAAGCTAGGGGAATCATCCCTACCTTCAAATACTGATGAAATAAGAAGAGAGGCAGAATTATATTCAGATGTCACCACCCATCAGTTACAAGATTATGCACCCTTCATAGGGTACCATACTAACATTTGAATGGGTTTCCAGTCTATCTCCAGAGATTCAAAATACGTGATGACCAAGATGGCTTATGAAATATCTAGAAAAAGCATCCACTTCCCTTCCTCCCTCTGTGGCACCATGCCCAATCTCAGGCTTCTTAACGTCCCATCCTGGGTGGGACAATCTGCCTTTCCACTTCTTCCAGTCCCTTTGAGGCAGAATAGCTAGATGATATCTCTGCTGCCAAGAACCCTAATGCCCAATGATGGAGAAGGGCAGATGTCAGACCATCACACTGGAGTTGAAGTTTGTGGAAATTCAACTTTGTATCATCTACAAAGCCAACCAAAATATAAGGAAGAGGAGTTACAAAAGGCAATAAAGCCCTAGAATTTCCTTTAAGACAGCAAAATGAAGGTGATACAAGCTTCCATAGCTGACTCGCTAATCCCAAGGGACCTGAACACCTCTCCCATCTGCCACTGTTCCAAATACTTCAGACTCAGCTAGGGATGAGTTGGTTTCAGGTCAACCTTACTTTTCCCTGCTCCCCAGCACCCTAAGCACTGGATCTCCTGCTCATGCTACTACAGGCAAGGGAGCAACCCTAAACAGATGGATGGGGTAAGAGGCTGCATGCAACAGCCAGGGACAGGAGAAACAGGAAAGTGCTCTTCCTCGCTATCAGGATCCTCTAGGTTCGGACTTGGAACTTGCCAGCCTTAGTCATGTATTTTATCCCCTTGAAGGGCTTGTACTTCTCCCCATACATGTCCAAGCGATTCACCTTCAGTCCTAAAGGCAAACAAACACAACATAAGACTGACTGCTGCCACAAACAAAGCAGACAGGCCTTCAAGATAAAGGAACACAAGATGATACTAGAGGTGTAAAAAGCACAGGGGAAGTTTCAGCAAGCAGTAAACAGAAAGGACAAAAGCTGACAACTGCCAATTGTCAGAATCATTCTTTACAAACACATCCATGCCCTAAAATTCTTTATAGGCTTGTAAGCATGAAATGCAAGAAAATGTAAGTAGGCTGTTTCACAGAGCAGCAGAGAGAACAAATCCACATATCTGTACTCAAAGCACAAGATTTTTTTACTTGAAGAAAATGTTTCAGGCAGAAAGTACTTCAGAAGGCCTGCAGAGCTACTTCAGCTACGTGCAGAGTGAGCATTGACACAGCAGAGAATATTCAGCTTCTTTACCTGACAGTCACTTACCAGATATAGCCAGCTGCTGAATTTTAAACTGGAGGTTAATGGTGGGGTTTTCATCTGGTTTTGATGTCCCAGCTTGCAGGCTCACACTCCCCTTCAGGCTTGGCAGCTTCTGGGGGTTTATTTTCCCCACATCCCATGACAGCAACTTCAAGGAACAGAAAATGCAGCAGTGAAACAGAAATGCTGTAACATCCTCTAAAGAAGAGTCCTCTTCCAATGACGGTTTTCTTTGTCTTAGTATCTTGCCTTTCATATTGGACAGACACAGTACCGGCTTAAGGAGCAGCTGCCTTGGACCTTTGTTCTCCCTCTTTCTTTCCTTGAGGTTCCCCAGATGCCTACCATGAATTATATTTCCACTACTTGTGCTACTGGCCCCACTTCCTGTGTGTAACAGTGACAAAAATAATGCAGAATTGCCTCCTTTCCAAGCGGCTGAAGTAGTGTTGCTTAAGGCTCTGCTGGGGGTAAACCATCAAATTTAAGTTTGCAATAAGGGCAAAAAAAAAAAAAAAGTGAACTCCAGGGGCAGATGACAACCAAACAACAAAACCAGAACACCCCAAAACAAATCAAAACCCACTAACCAATGCAAATCCTCAGTGTTTGCAAAGGACCAAGTCTAACGTGCAGTACTAGGCATGACAACTAGATATGCAGAAGTTTGTAAAGCATCCACCAGACTAATGCCTTATTAGACAATTCTCCAATTTTCTGCACTCACCAAGCAACCAGAACTACAGTCCACTGAGATGCTGAGCTATTTGTTGTGGGGATTAAGATAACCTGTAGTATGCAATTTTCCAGAAAAAGTTCTCACCCCGAGAAAACGTACTGCCTTTAGAAAAGCGATGTTCAAGGAAATGTTCATGTAAGCATGAACAGCTCAACTTCATGTGCTGAAAGGTAAAGAAGATTAAAAATTAAATAAATAAATAAATAAATTCTAATTTCTCTCTTTCCTCTCACCTTTGTAACTGGATCGAAGATATGTGTTCCCTGAGAGGGCGTGAGGGTCATATTTAAGACACCTTTTGGCATCTGGCTAGTAACCATCACTCCCTCTACAGTCTTCCCCATAGTCTGCTTCGGCCCCACTGTGATCTCAAAACGTCCCAGTGAACTGCTATCACGGAAACTGATGTTGTGTTTAACGTAGACAGGAATTGCCACAAGACTAGAATAAAGACATGAACAGAAAGTCCTTGTCAATCTCTTGCCTTCATCTTTGCTTTTCCTGATGCAGTCCTTACCTTCTACACTGAAAATGTTGGAAACCAAGCTCCTTAAAAGAGAAGGAAATCCTATAGTCATTTGTTTGATCTAAGACCAAAGTCAGAATCCCGTTCTCAAGTCTTAATTAAACTTTTTTTTTAATCAAGCTTGCCGTATCTTAGTTTTCTACCTCTCTAGAGGACAGGAAACTAAATCCAGTACAACAGGAGAACTGAGCAAAGGATGAAGAATGTTTTTGCATGTCACAACCAAGCTGGCAAGTAGTTCCAGGCAGTGCAGCAGCACTTGAACTTCATGTTTGTGCTCTTGGTTGGATTTCCCACTCCTTTTCATCTACTTTTGATAAGTCTGATAAAGTCTATCAAATGCTTTAGCATCTGTAACCCCAATTAGTACTTGGTAAGCTGCTTCTAGAAAAGAGCATAAACAGTGAAGAAGACCTTGTAGTTCTGTTAAGAAAGATGTCAAAAAACCAACAAGATTACCAACCTATCTTGTTTTATTCTAAAAGTTTTTCATAAACATAGGAAATCAACAGCTTGATTACTCCATACTGCTTAATTCTTTCCCTCTCTAGTTTTTTCAACTGCTACTAGTCTTTGAAAAATGCTGGCTGACCGAAAAGAGATGACAGAATCACTGCTCCAAACAAGGAGAACATATGTATTTTAAAAAAGGAAAAATGCAAGGGGTCATGCATCTCTACTTCATTTAGCACAACATGCCACATGACCTTTAGGAGCAATTTTTTTTTTTTCCTTTTTTCCTTTTTTTTCTAAATTTCTTTTCCCTTTCTTCCCTAGCCAGGAAGATCCAAATTTCATAATTCACAGCACTATATTCGTCACCTACTTCTGAGCACTGACATGGTAGGAGAGCAAGCGAAAATTTCCATCAGGTGGAATGAAGGAGAGTATTCTTTCTGACTCCCAGCGCTTAAAACGCACACATGGATGAAAGCTGACATCATCCAATAACCGAGGGTTCTGAAATAAAAGAAAGTCACAAAGTTAGTGAAGGCAGTACTACTTAAAAGAACCTCCTCAATCTTCTATCCATGAAGGGCCTACCATTTGTTACACTCTGTTCACATGAAGGTACCTACATGTTAAGCTATTTGATGCTGTTACATCTATGTGCTAGCAGTACTCAGTAATCTCTATCCTATTTTAGAAAATTCAGTTATGTCAAATAATTACATTGATGCATACTCATAAAAAAAAGATGGCCCTTTAGGATATCTGCCTAAAACACGACAGTATCTCAGAAACTTAGTCACAGCACGCACTAACAGTAATTTTAACAAAGAATCTGACAGTAAAACCTTTAGGCTCAAAGTTCCTGAAGTTCACAGTTTCCACTGTCAGTTCTTTTTATTTTTGTTTGGTATACCCAGGTTCTGATCTACTGGAACCCATCAGCATGAGACTGAGATCCTAGTAGCAGGGATGGGGAAACCCTTTTTGAATACTTAAGTAAAGATACATCCTTGAGCTTTACCATAAAGGAGAGAGTAAGGTCCGGCATCCCAGTCAGCTTGACACAAGCATCAATCACCCCTTGGATTTCAGCAGTAATCGTGGAACCTGCAACAATAAATTATATGAACCTGATAAGAAAATTCCAGTGTGGAAAAACTATCAATGGAGAGGAAAGAAATTTATAATCTTTATCAAATGTCATGGCTCATTACGTTGCCCGCTCAACGTTTTTTTCATTCCCAATGACTTCTAGAGAAGATGCATACAAATAAGAACCACTGACACCAGCAACCTCCATTTTAATGGCCAGTGACAATAGCTCCAAACTCTAGCACAACTAAGATGCACAAAAACTAAGGAGACAGCACTATGCGCAATGTTCACTTGCCTGCTTTTTTCCCAGTACAGAATTGCTTACAAGACCTCAGGAACAAGGACAAGTGAAAACCTTGGTACCTCTCTAAAATTTTTTACTGAATAGCACCTGCAAGTTGGCCACATTTCAGAGTAAGAACAGGAATAGAGCTTCCGACACTTAGATGAGGGAGCTCCTCTTTGAAAACCTGACTCTCTCTTCAGCCACTATCAGGACAAGTTACCCTCATCTTAGCCAGAAACAACTTCCATACCTGATTTGTCGATGATTGCATCTATCTCCTCAATCACATCAAAATACGCCTCATTGTTGGTATATTTTACACCAGTACGTCTCCAAGGCACCACTGATAGCTGTCCAGTAGGAAGCTGGTCACCCACGTTAGTGCTTCCTGGAAAAAGAAAGGCAATCACAGCAATCACAAATGTTAGACAGTGCTCTAGAACAAGTCCTTGGCCTCATATAAGTTGATTGTAATTAATCCCCGAGAACCTCTATCACTTTGTATAAGAGCAATTACTCTTCCAGACCCACTGTTTGTATTCTGCAATTTACATATCTCTCACATCTAATGCTAAAACATACCACAATGGGGAAGTATAACTAAAAAACAAAACAAAAAGCCACCCCAACAAAAAACCCACACCAAATTAACTCATCCAGGAATTCATGTCATGGCTCTAACTGAAAACGTAATCTGTCTGTTTTGGTTACCAAAAAAAAAAAAAAAAAGCGCAGCTGGTGCTGGAACTGGAAGGAACCTCAAAGCAAAGCATTAACACAGGACTCCCTGAATATACCTATGCTGGGGTTTAGAATGGTATGGGTCAACATAAGTTTTCTTCACCCATGTCCTAATTTACTTATGCAGGAATATTGCCACACAGCCTCCCCAGATTATCTACTTCTTGTTTCCCTGTACCTGTGATGGTGTTGACAACTGTTCGCAGGATAGTGGGAGGTTTTATCAGTTCCTTAAGAATATTAGACTCTGTTGCCAATGGAAAGCCATTGTCCAGCATCTCCTCCAGCACCTCATAAACCACCACAACATTGTCCTTGATCATCACCTCTGAACAGACACCAAAATAATCCTGTGCAAAAGAAATAATTACTCAACAATCTCTGGAAGAGAGAGTCTTAGTGATCATTTATTTCTGTGTGGGAGGACACCGAACTGAATCAAGCCTCTTTTTGGAGGAGGTGAAACAACACTGAAACTCCATGTAGTACAAGCACATCAGACAGACACTCCAACATATATGTACAACTCTGACCATGCCATTGCCCCAGCAAGCTGGCAAATCACCACATCATCATATGTTCTTATTTCCTTTCTATATAACGAGATTCCCTTTGATAGCAAAGAGATTTTTTTAATTAGCACTTGAAAGTGGCTCAACTGCAACCGATTAAGCCACAATATTCATAAGAAAAACTTACTTCCTGCAGCCACTACTGACTCGTGTGCAGTGATGCCTTTCATTAGACTCCAGTATTATATATCCTTCCTCAGCTGCCCTAGTCTTTTCCCACAGTACTCTCAATATTTTAACTGTGCACCACTGCTGTTTAAGGAATTCAACCTCTCCTCCTCAAAGCCCTTCATTTACTTTTGTCATAATGCTCGCATACACACAGCAATAAAACAATTATTAACTTCAATTCTGTAAGTATTCTTTTAGAGTTTATTTTGATGCGGGATATAGGGGAAGCACAGCTTCTAACTCTCTGCATACTCTGCCTAAGTCCACGACTGTTTTATAGGAGAACATTTCTGAAGTCCGTCTAACACACAACCTGTGTTTTTTCATTCTGATGCTGCTTGGGGTGTACAGACTGCTTACACATCCTAAGATGTATTAGGCTGAAGTCCAGTATTCTGAAAAGCCTGAAAAATAATTCTATCCATGTAACAAAACCCTCCTTCCTCATCATTTAAGAGGTGTATAAAGCAGAACCTCAGAATGTGAATCAGAGAAGATCTGCAGACCAGTTTATTCCCCATCTTGATTCCTCTACTGTTTCTTCATCTCCTACTCCAAAACAATAATTAGCAATATTAAAGCTTGCAGTAAAAATATACCAAGTCAAATTGTAAATCTGTAACACAAAACTAAGTGGAGATCTTTCAAGATTCAGCATATGTTATAGGACGCAGTCCCAATAATTCAGCAAATTTTAAAAATGAACATTTAATTTATTCATAGTTTTACTCAATGCCTCTTTCTGGAGAGAGTGCACGCGCACACACAAACACAAACCCGAGCTTCTAGTTACTTGGAGCAATTAAAGAGATCAGGCATTCTGCACAAAGCACGAGTATACATAAACTGTGATGCTAGGGAATTCCTAGTTCTGCAGTGAAGACACACTCACGCCTCATCCCCTCCCAAAAAACAAGACCTAAGCGACTGACATAGTACATTTTTGGCCCGAACAGCCAATCTACTCCCTGAACTCAGTGAAACCTAACTTGGCCTACACTCACATTCTGACTGGATTGCTGCCTGGAAGCAAAAGCTCACATGATAAACTTGTTTGACCAGGCACCCACATTTCCTGTATTCTGGTAGGATGCTGGTCACAAGACATTTCAAATCCAGACTACACGGTCCTGTTGTTTGCAGGCCAAGGCAGACATCTTCACTATTTCCCTAAACTGACCAGCAGTCACGTCGGCCACAGCACAGAGGGAATACGGCTGCTCTGGGGCAACTCTTGCGACTCACTTCTTTCCGAAGCAAATACGCTTGCAAGAAACCTCTCTAGATGGAAGCACATAGGTAGGTCGTCGCTAACTGACTAAAGCACAAGGCTATGAATCGCAAAAAATCCTGTGAGAACAAGGCCAGCTTGGTCTTAGTTCACAGCTCCTAGAAGAGACAAGGCTGCAAAACAGAAATACAAATCTTGATTGCTGCAAGGTCCCTCCGGTGAGCACAGGCTGACCTTGAATCCATCATCATCCCAGGCAGAACACTCCTGGCCACTGCAAGCCCTCGAGACCCACTCTAAACCCTTGCAGGTGCAGGATGAGAATTAGGAGACTGGAAGAAGAGGGAACTAATTGCCGCTAACTTGAAGGGCTCCCTCTCCCGCCCCGTTTACGACACGGCAGTAACCTGGGGCTCCTCTAAGCTCCTCGGCACGGCGAGCCCTCCAGCTGGAGCAGAAGCAGAGAGCCGCTGCGCCCCCCCCCGCCGTACCTGGAAGGTATCGACGACGCGGTGCAGGAACTCGATGACGAAAAGCGGCGGCACCTCGCTCTGGATGACGGCCACGAAGAAGATCTTGTGGCGGTAGACGCTGAGGAGGTAGTGGTGCGGCGTGGGGATCACGGGCGGCACGTTCTCCGCCTCCGAGGCCCGCTCCTGCGCCTCGAAGAAGTAGTCG